ACACGTACCCAACGAAAACTATAAATAGAATATGTAGTCACATAATCGCCGCCCCATTTCTACATTATATTAATATCTTTATATTACATTAAATCATACTTTAATTTTCACATTGTATTATTATCTCTATATTCCATTATCCCATATTATTATATTTCTAATATTAAACTCGCCACGTCTCGATTTACCAGCTTCTCCATTAGCCAATACTATTGTTACTTATTACTGATATTCACAATATTACCAACACCGTTATTCACACGTACCCAACGAAAACTATAAATAAAATATGTAGTCACATAGTCTCCCCATTTTGTGCCATTACGAAGCTCATCTGTTGTGCACCGAACTGTACGGACACACACACGGGAAACACCGTCGATTCTTTCCGCGGTGAATTAAGCGGCCGAGCTGTTAGCCGCCTGACGAGTTTATTCGTCGGTGGATTTATCGGATCGAACGGACTCGTTTCTTGCGTCTTACTGCTGGATCGGCGTGGTGATTGATGACGGTCGTTTAACCCGAACATTGTACCGAATCGATGTATCACGGTTAACGCGCGTTCATTTGTACTTCTGTCATGGTTTTTTCGTTGTTTCGCGTTGATTCGATGTTCCTTTTCGTCGGATTATTTCCCCCGCGTTCCTTTTTTTCTCCCCAGGGATTCCCTTTGATAGACTCGTTGTCGCTATTAGCGTTATTAGCCGCCGGTTGAAGATACATCGCGTTTTGCAGAGACGGGGCGAAAGGTAACCGTGATGGCTTATGGAATTTTAAAAATATGCTTTTAGAGGGTGAAATATGCTTTTCGGGTCAGCCCAGTCAATAACAGTAACCCGGTAGGCACGTGAATTTATAACGTTCGTCATTGATCTCCAATGCACCACAGCATTTTTATCAAACACGAAAGGGGGTGGACCTGGGGAATTTATATTCCGTTGCTATTTTGCCGAAGAATAATATTATAACAGATTAACGATCACCACGTCAACAGTGCCTTATTTTATCGTTCCTAAGGAAATTGCATTGATTTTATCGTATGCATATTTAAGCAACAGTGAAACATTCGGGTCAAAGGAATTATTCGATTATTATTCAAAATGCGAGGTACACAATGTTATCGCGATTCATCGTTTACAAAAAGGCATTACAGGTTTTATGATATTCTGAGTGCTTGACCAAAAGTGAAGCATTGTAACGAAAAAGGTCCTCGTCAGTTATTATTCGAAATATCACAAAAACACATATTCCATCGATTCCAAAGTTCTACACATTCTACACCTCGAATATTCAAAGGAAAGTCAAACATTCGGTTCAAAGAAATTATTCCATTATTCTTCAAAGCATGAACTACACAATGCTTTCACTTCCAAAAAACATATCACAGATTTAACAACATCCCAAACATTGAAACAATAGTAAGAAAATTCGTTATTAGTTATTATTCAAAGTACCATAAAAAACACATTCCATCGATTCCAAAGTTCTACACATTCTACACCTGAAATATTCAAGGGAAAGTCAAACATGCTGTTCAAAGAAATTATTCCATTATTCTTCAAAGCATGAACTACACAATACTGCCACTTCCAAAAACCATATCACAGATTTAACAATTTATTATTCAAAATTCCAAAAAGAACACACACATTCCATCGATGCCAAAGTAAGTTCTACAGATTCTACGACACCTCGAACATTCAAGGGAAAGTGAAACATTCGGGTCAAAGAAGTTCCGCGCGGTTATTAGATTATCAGTGGGACGCGCCGGTGTCGATGAACGCATCCGGCCGATCGATCTGCCAAATTGAGAGAGAGGCGGTCCGCGGTGCGCATCAGCTGTTGCGGCCCGGTTTTGTCATATGGCGCGGTTATTACTCGGCCCAGGCCGCTCAGAAAGTTTACACGCCTCTGGAAGAACGACAATGGCCCGTAAATGGGACATGAGGAGCGGCCGTGGAACGCTCTCGGCCCGAGTCGAACATCTGTTCCGTCGGAACCGGCGCTCTCTCGAACCAATTTCGATATTGTCGCTGGCGATCGGTATCCGGAGCTCCTTCTCGTTGCGGGAGAAATTGCGGTTGATCGTTTGCGGTCGTCGAATGCGCGTCAACCCCGCGACACGGTCCGCTCCGCTTGCGGTCCTTGGAACACGGCCGCGCTCTTGGGGATTAATTCTTTATTGCGACCCGGTATACCGATGCGAGCGCATTTTTCGGAAGATTGCGCACTGCGGATGTAAGCGACATTTCAAGCTGTTCGCGCTGAATATTGAATGGGAACGGGAAGCTTTCGTTTCGAGACTGTTTCGATGTGTTTGTAGAAGTGTAACCGTTTGTCCTACGATTTGTAACTATGATCGACACGATTACTTTGTCATTAATAACTTATCGAAGAAAAGAGAAGACTTCAAGGCGTAACAGGAGAATAACATTTAATTTGATTTTATAGAAATTGAGTATTATGTTCGTGAGATTCTATTTAAAGTAAGGGATTAAGAATCTAGAAGAGTTCTATTGCAACGTTTATTTCCTGCGTTTTATTTTATAAGAATTCTTCATATTACAGAAATGAAGGAACGATTTTACAGAAATTGAGTATTATGTTCGTGAGATTCTATTTAAGGCGAGGGGTTAAGAATCTAGAAGAGTTCTATTGGAACGTTTATTTCCTGCGTTTTATTTTATAAGAATTCTTCATATTTTCAATTGTACGAACAACTGCGATATTACATTTCGTTTAGTATCCCCAGCCTTGCAAGCCCCTAAACTACAGCACGATCGTCGTCGACCACCCAGTACATTCTACCGGTCGCACGCGCTACAGACCATTCCGATATTTATCATTGATATGCAGATTAATGGAAATGAAACGATAAACCTGATTGAGGTTTGTGCATTTAGATACTATAGACACCGGTATCGTGGGAAGCACGATGAAGGGCGAAGGCGTATCTACGGCACGCTCCGCAATTCCCCGGCTGTAATTTTGTCGTTTGTCTACGGTGACACGCGCCGATATATTATTGCAATTAACCATTAATAGAGTAATCGTGTCAATCTATCTCCGTCCTTGGCATCACTCCATCCGTATCAGAAAATAACATGCCACGTACAGCAGCGTGCACAACACACACGAACTCCTCCCCTATCAGCATTCCTCTCGAATCATCCTATCAAAACTAAAACCAAAACCATGCATTCCCAAAGAATCCATCGCGAACCCTAACCATAACTCATTCATTCCAACCTCCTCCTAACTCGGTCTCTCCAAACTCCAATTTCCAGTGGACCACCCAGTATACCGTGTCCGTACGCTACAAATCGTCGTACGTACACAAGAGGCGGCGCGCGCGCCTCGAGAACCGAGTTCGCCGTAACGAGAATCGTCGACCGACAGTCCGTGATTCGTTCGTCGTTACGACTGCTCTCGGCAGAGACAGGGGCGGCCAGAGCCTGGCCGCGCGACGAGGAGGACCGGCAACGGGAAAGAGACGGGAACGCTGAAAGACGCGGTTGGCGTGGGTCAGTAGACAGGACAGGAAGGCCAGCGTGATATTCGATACGAGGGATCGCGTGCGCGCGGGGTGGCTGGTGCCACCCTAACGTGGCACGTGGGGCGCTACCAGGTGTTGCCTAGACGTCGGGTCGATGCCGATCCCCGGCGCACGCGCGGCGTCCCCCGCTCGCCGCTCCGCGTCCCTCCGCGATCCACCCAGCTAACCCTCGCGGACCTTTACATCCCTCCGCCTAGCCGACATTCTCGTTTCTGGCTCCTCCACCCTCGACCTTCCCCCTTTTTGCAGAA